GATTTAGCACTGTGCTTAAAGTTTGTGCCAACATTTGAACCATATCGTGGTTGCTTTCATCCATTTGCTGCCTCAAGACTGCTGTCGAGGCATTCGTAAGGCCATGCATTACTTGGGACGTTCCTCCTAAGAGTTGGGTCCTACCCCTGTTCGCCATACCAACCCCAGAGCCTTGGAGTGGCGAAGAGGCGCTCACTAAAGGGTCTGAAAAAGTGGACGCAACATTCGTCAGGCTAGCCAATTCAGAAGTTGGCATGCCATAGAGTGGTTCTCGATTTAAACCGATTGTCGAAAAACCTAGGGGAACATATGGCCTAGTTCCTTGGTTTCCCCTTGGTGGGGGAGTTCCAAAAGGCATTCTGGGGTCAGTAAATGGAGGTAATGGCCCCGTTTGTGTAACCGTTACTGCTGGTGTTGAACCAGCGGTTACCACTTCACTTACAGTTGGGATAACCGTTGCTCCCACGTTTGTTTGTGGGATTTCACCACTGTTTGGCAGATTCGCCATCTCTTCACTTCTTCTCCTAGTATTGGTTTCGTTGGTGTATATTCTACCACTTCTCAATAACATGCAATACTCTCGAAAAAGGAGGATATTTTATATAAAATGGTTAATCGTAAAAATCAACACAAGGTCCCACCAGGTGTGCCAATTTGTTTACCGTGGAAATCGGTAAACAACCGCTGATCTTCCAAAAGGTTACTTATTTGGTGACTAGCAGGATCGATCAGATTGATCCTAAGACATGGTTGATTTTCTGGAGTTTGACTAATCCTGATGGTGATTAATGCCAGTAAAGTAAAGACACTTTTAAGTAAATTGCATGAAGAAAAGCTTGATAGAATAAATAAAAGCGTTAAGTAAAAGGCTTCGACGGAGATAAGTAAATGAAAAGCGATAAATTGCTTGAATATAAAAGACTTTGATTAATTTAAATGGTGTTTCACACATACATTCTCAATGATTCTTTCGCTCACGCTGGGTACTTGAATCTAAATGAGTGACTTGTATAAGATGATGAACACACGCGAAAACTACGTGAACAACTAGTATTTATACTAAAACAAATCCTAAGTAACTGCTGGGTAGTTATGCTGCTTCGAGATGACGCCACATGGCACGCTCACAGCCTTCGACGCTTCTGTTCTCGGCACGTTACACTTGGTAACTGCTGGGAACCGTTTTCCCTCCAAGCATTCAAATCTCAAACCGTTCGACCTTGGGCATCAGGTACCTTTGTCGAGAGGTTCCTTCGACATCGAAGACAACAAGATTCCCACTTAAAGGAATTCCTCTAAGTACTTTGTCATTCTTTGATGAGCCTTCGACAGGATCAGTTGGTCGAAGCCTTCTTATGTAGGAAACTCTTCTGACTCATAATTAATGGTCTATATATGATAACAAACAAGGGTGTCGAATTTAGGAGCCAACAACAACACAATCACACAGAGGCATTAAGCTCTGATACCCAAGTAGATGTCAGCTCTAAATCTATCTCTAGAGTTCAGAAACTAACGGATAATCATCCTAGATAAAAATCTAAGCAGTATATGTCTATAACAACTCAAATCTCTAGCACAGAGAAAAAAATCCAGGACAACAATCGACAAAGATTTGTAAAGCAAGTTTAATATAACGCCATGGGCGATAAATATACATGATTTCAAAGTAAATATATGTATAAACTCAACATATAAAGAATACACAAAGAGGACGAGAAATGAACCACAAATCTCTCGGTTTGTCAGCGCCGATTAATGAGTAATCCACCCGGATCATCCGTATGCAAGCTTCAATGTTGTTTTCTAAATCTTATCAAAGAATGAAGTTTGATGGAGTTGGAGTCAAAAATACCCAAAACCATACCCAAAAATGTGTTTTTGGCCCTAAATACGCATTTCTAACTGTCCAGGATCGCCTGACGACCAAAAAGTTTCGCCCGGCGGCCCAAAACTGCGTTTTTCCCATGCTACAACTCGCCTAGCGTCGCCCGGCGACCAAAATTTTTGCCTGGCGAAAGTTGACAGCAAGTTGAAAAATCAGCACATCATCCTGCATTGTTTCGGTCATAACTTTTGAATCGTAACTCCGATTTGCACCCGGTTAGAAGAGTTGGAATGCTTATTCAATTCTCTTTCTAACAATGACAAAATATACACCAAATTTATGATTTCTTATTCTTTTATTTTGAGCCTTATTCATTGACGAGTTGCTCAAAATCGCGCGTTTGAAGTCGTGTCTTCGACACTTTATTGCTCATGCTCCAAATACGCATCAATACCTACAAAATGAATGGAAAAATATCAAACGGTACTCTATGTACACAAAAACACAAATAAACACAAATTAAATGTATTTAACAATAAAAAGTCGATAAGAGCAACAAAAAATATATACAAAATAGCTACAATTTGCACTTATCAGTACCATTCGTCGAGCCATGGTTCCAGGAGCTGATGCACATCATTGAGATGCGTGATTTGGTCTTATATGGATATACTAACGTTAATCATGATATGATTAACGCTTTTATTAAAAGATGGCATCACGAGACATTGTCGTTCCACCTACCACATAGTGAGATGACAATCACACTGGCGATGTTGTCTTTCTATTACACCTTCCGATTAGAGAGAGATTTTTAGATCATAAGAGATACACCAAAGAAGAGGAGTTGGATATATTAGTGGAGTACTTAGGAGTTACTCTAGAGGGTGTTATGACTGAGATCGACAAAACTCGTAGGTGTCATGTCAGATTTAGCTACTTGCAAGAGAAGTTCACGGTTGAGCTAGAGCGTGCACAACAGACTGCTGGTGACGATATGCAGGTAGCCCAGCACAGAGCACGTGCTATGAGGGCATATCTTTGTATCTGGTTAGCACACAGATTTTTATGGACACTAATGCCACTTGTACTGATATCATGTATATGTGGTTCTTTAACAATGAGGGGTAGCTTGTTTGATGTATTTGTACCAGGAGTTGTCCGGACGCATTAAGTGGAATGCAAATTAGATGACCGACAACATCACACTTTTGACGGTAACATTTCTTATTCTTATGTTATTTTTGTCTTATCATGTATATTACTTTGATATCGTTACTTACTAATGACGGTAATATTTCCGGCCTAGATCCTACAACACTTCCCTCACATATTTATATGGTCACTTGAGCCTACATATACTGAGGTTCAGCCACGTTCTGTTTCATTCGATTCATTCGGAGAGAACCAGACGACAGAGCCATTCATGGTGTATATAGATCGCTTGACCTATGAAGATATATACTTCCATGCATACGGGCTCACCGTGAGACGGTTCCCTTTGACGACATTGTGTTGTTTACTAGGTGGTTGGCATGCGGTTCGCACAAGACGACTGCTTATTTGTCTGAGCGTGTGATGCGGCAGTTCAGATACATGCAACACTTTCTCATACCACCCTCTGAGTGTGCCCCTCCCATGGTGAAACAGATGGATATGGATGACATATTTGATGATTATCTTAACCATCTCGTATCTGATGAGGTCCGGAGTACCATAGCCCCAAAAGATTGGAGTTATGAGGATGGATATATCTTATGATTCTTCAAGATGTCACATCCATATCCGGTACAAGAGACTCCAGGTAACCCACCTAGTCCAGCACATACAAAGCTTCTAGAGGAAGAGCATGCTAGGGCCGATCATGCTCATGATGTGTTGCTTAGGTGTCGTCGTGGAGATTGAGCAGGCGAATATTGATAGAGGTATGTTTTCTGATGGCTCTAACGTTAGAGGTGTTATAGATGTCATCATGGCGGAAGCTGAGGAGGCTCTGGATTACAGACGGCGACGAAGGAATGTCGTTAATATCACGGACCAACTCATTATTCGTCGTACTTAATAGTATGAAAATTTTAAATGCATTTTGTTTATAATACTACTATATTTTTCATATTTTGACTATTTGGATAACACGTTGAGGAATTTTGTCATATTTTAGAAGATAATATTTATGAGCATTTGTACGTATTTTATAATTACTTTGTATTTAATCATTTTACTACATATTTTATAAATGCACAAAAACCTGCATAATAATATGATCTGAATTATCTGTAAATGAACCGGAAATACATATCCTATACCAAATCATAATTGCATTTTCGATTTCAAACATGATTTTTCAAAAAAAAGATGCGCTCCAGAAATACACTTTTGCAAAGTCTTTTTTGGTTATTCATAGGATTTTTTTCCCTATCTAAGATGCCATAAAAAAATTCTCTTTTATTTTTCATGGAGGTCTGAGAGAAAGTGACTTATTTTTCCCACCCTAAGTGATGCTCTTTCACCTTTGAAAAACCAAAATACCTCTAAAATTCATAAATACACTTTCGAACTCATCTCAAATACACTGAATTCATGCATAAGTGAGTTACACACTCATTTTGCTAAAAAGTTAATTTAAAAATATACTTTCAAAAGTAAACTTAACACAATTTGTTTCACAATGATCTATGATTTTCACTATTCAGGTTTCAAATAAGTGTTCATAAGTTTTTTTGTTGTTAATCTTTGAATGATTTTTATCTTTGAAATGCATACTGTTACATTTTAGGAAAGTTAATAAAAGGATAAACACTTCCAATTAGGCTATTTAATTCCTGGAAATTTATGCTAAAGTTCCATTCCATCTTTTCAGTAATGTCTAGACTCTAAACATGTATACGGTAACCTGTTTACAAGCTGACATTACACCAAACTCATATCAACAAACACCGGGTATAACCTAAGAGCTACTTCTAAACCCTCGCCTATTTCTTTAAAGCTGCACCACTCTGTAAATAAATTTTTTCCCTTGCGTCCGGGTGAGATAATTAGAAAATTGGCGTTTTTTTGTTGTACAAATGGATAAATCCAGACGAAAACGGTTTTAAGAATCATGAGATGGAAAAAGAAGCTCTCATAGTTTAACACTTTATCCATGTAACTGAATTATAGCTTGTAGTACAATCTATCGTTTCCAGTCTTGAAGAATGTTTATGCACATTCTTAAGAATGATTTTGCCCCTTCATTCTTCTCTATCTCATACTGATGAAGGAGTTCTTCTTTGAATTCTTCATTAATTGCAATAACTGAAGGCACTACCACAGAGAGTTTCATGATTTCCAGAAGGCATTCTGAGGCAGAAACATGAACCTGATTTGGGCATATGAAACACAAGAAATAATATGATTATCAACATCCAATTGGAGTACTGTAACAATTACCAATATCTAAAGATTAAAGTAATCAATGTATACATAAAAGTATTGCTCTTACTATGACAAATGACAGAATCTATGGACAATTGCAAATAGTGTTCAAGCAAACAAGACTGTAACGTACCTGAGCAATTTTTATTGTACTTATGCAATGTAGAACCTTCGGGGATATAGAATGAAACATCTGATGAAAAATTAACTAATTTTAGATCAACCAAGAATTTTAGAAGTACAACTGAAACTGAACCATAATTACCTCTTGAACAAAGGAAGTTATGCTGGCATGTTCATTACTTCCATGTGAGTCCTTTATGACATTGTGGAGCCTTGAACAAAGTTCTTTGATGGATAAAAATGCGGTAGTTTTGACTGCACAGAAATTTATTTATTATTTCATAATGTTCAAAAAATTATGGCAGGTCTTTGAAACAAAATATGAAGGATCAAGAATACCTGTCCATTTATATTCGGGTAATAGGAATGCAGCATAGATGTGCATTAGGTCCTTTTGCTTTTGAAGAATATCATTTATATGTGCTACGAGGATGCAAGAGGTCAAACAATCTATAATTTTGTTATGTGGAATAGAAGTCTCTTCAACACTGTCCAACTCTGCAAAAAAGATATGTCAAATTGCCTGATGCTAAAATTTTGTTATGAGAATGATAATACGTATCATCAGGTCAATGGTATCAAAGAAAAAAATTGTCTGCCAGAACAACATGATAACAAGGAAGGCTTTATACTAAGAACCAATCAGAATAATGAGGCGTTTGAAAGAACTTTTGAGATTGTTTTATAACATAAGAACTTACTTAAATGTTTGGAAATTGGAACGTATAAAAATAGCTAATGATATACTCATAAGCTGTTTTCAGCTTCTAAAACAAGTGCCGGAAAATAAATGAGACTTGGAATGTTGTATAGAAGATGAAAGACAGAAAAACTGAGATCCAAATATACAGTGAATTTCGATGGCAAAAGTGAATACAATTAGGATTATCCACTTTTGGGAACACTTTGACATTATAAATGTTGTGCATGGAGACATCGACCAGGAGGTATATCTGGAAATCTCGCTAGGATGTGACTCCATAACAGAGTGAATAAGATATGCAAATTAAAGAATGCCTTATATGGATTCAAGCAGTGTACTATTGTGAATGGTTTGGGCGGTTCACTTGAGCAATGGTATCCTTGGAAATTGGGATACAATCAAACCCAAGGTGGCTGTACTCTTTGTATAAAACATTTTTAGGAATGAAAACTCAGACTTCTAGTCTATGTAGATGATATAGACTGGGAAAAAACTAATCATCTAATCATCACCTACAATGTATATATCATCTATGTAGGACAGAAGCTGTCTACTCCATACAAGGTGTTAGAGTCTCACATTGAATAATATATGGCCTGAGCATATCTTTATAAGTAGAGACAATCCTCACCCTACAAGCCGATTTTGTAGGGATGAGTTTGGCCTAAAACCACGAATCTTGTTAACAAGGCATTGACATTTCCAAAAGGAAAATATGTCCTTGCGGACATCCCATAGAATTGGAAATGATCATGAGCGCCCAAAAGAGGACTATCCTATAATGTTAGCACCCACTTGATCATCATCACAAAATAATACTCACTTTCTTCTGCTCTTTCCAAGCCATCAGTGGCAGCAATCTAAATCAATTTAGCAAGATTCAACTTACCCACCACATTAGCCATACACTACCTCATACAAGGAACAATTTTGTTGCGACGTAGAAATAAATATATAGAATTGGTCATAACCTGCTTTAGCAGCATCACTGATTGATGGTGACTTTTGGGGCTGTGAATTGCATAGATCAAACAACAGGGGAAAAACCATATTAAAGAACTCTGGATTGCCAAAGGCTTTGATAACCTGAAATCATGCGTGAAAAATGATTAAGCATCTAAATATTTAAATTTAGGAAATATATGAAAAATGGCTGAAAACTTACAATAGTTATATCATGATTCAAGGACAAACATGTATAGAGATTATTGACAATTTTATGAATTTTGTTTATAAAGAAGGTAAACAGAAAATAGTTATCCTCTTCAGTTCTTCACAAATTTTCTCCTCTCCCACAAACCCGACAAAATCAACAAGTTAAACTGGAAATGAACATTTGATTCTTAAGTTTGCTATGGTAGAGATATCTATCAATAAATTAATAAACAGAACCACTTCGATCAAACCTTTTCTAACTAGTACAGGTTGGCTATATAGTTCTGTTATATACAGGTGGGCTATATAGTTCTGTTGCACACCTTAAATAATAAACAGAACCACTTCGATCAAACCTTTTCTAACTAGAGCATTTATTTCAACATCTCTCATGATGAATGAACACATTAAATAATAACCCACCGTTTGTTGATTGCCGCAGTTTTCATCTAAAGCTTGATTTAACTTCTGCCATAAAACTCACTAAGATTCAATTTAGGATGCCACTAATCTGTATTAGTTTAGCGCTTGCAGCACTACTAGTTTGTAAGCTACTGATCAAGTAGAGCCACTTGTTTATCCATTTATCATAATTTTTTGCCGAAATATCTGTAATGTTCTCAACATTCAGAAGAAGAAAAAAGGGTCCAACCAGGTCCAAGCCTAGCTACATTCATTTATTAAATAAGGGGTGGCAGTTAAAACTGAAGGGTCCTATATCATTTCCCTAATCTTCTGGTAACTAACTCCTAGTACAAGTTAAATCCTTTTGAATTGTTAAAAGTCTCACATCGGATAATATATAGCCTAAACATGTCCTTATAAGTGGGGAAAATCCTCACCTTACAGACCGGTTTTGTAGGGTTAAGTTAATCCCAGCCGCACTTCTTAACATGGTACCAGAGCTCTTGCTCGGAATCGGACATATCAGGCTCTTGCTCGATATATGGCACATCAATGTTATAGGACTTATGAACAGTATCAGTCGGGTGATCAGCGGTGCATGATATGGCACATCAATGTTATAGGACTTATGAACAGTATCAGTCGGGTGATCAGCGGTGCATGATAGTTCCACATTAGGGATTGATGGTTCTAGTTTATTAGAGATATATACATATTGCTTATTATAGGGGTCCTTTTCTGTAGTATACTTTGTACAGCTGGCATAGGGTTTGTTAGTGCCTAGCCTTTTATCTCCCTTATATATAGGGATGCCTTGTACTGTTATTTGTGCGAATGAAATACGATAACAGATTTCTTCATCTCTCTCTTCTCTTTTTCTTAACATGGTATCTTGAGCTCTTTTTTTCCTTCGATCTAAACGCTTCCATGGCATCGCCATTCAGCACTGACGGTGCTTTTTCTTCATCTCATGTGAAACTCTCACATCTCATCTCCGTCAAATTAGATGAGAAGAATTTCAAACAGTGGAAACAGCAAATCGAAAGCGTTATTCGTGGTCATCGTCTTCAACGGTTCGTCACTGTACCGTGCGTTCCACAGCGTCTTCTTCCCGGCACCGATCCAGTCACCGGCGGTGCAAATCCAGATTATCTGGAGTGGGAACAGCAGGATGCACTTATCTGCACCTGGCTACTCTCCACGATTTCCGATTCTCTTCTTCCGAAACTCGTCGACTGCACGTATTCGTGGCAAGTATGGTCAGAAATTCACCGTTACTTCAATACTTTGCTCACCACCAAGGCGCGACAGTTGCGACCTGATCTGTGCAACCTGAAGAAAGGTTCGCGTTCCATTGCTGAATTCGATGGACATCAGCGAGGCGTTGGTGTCAATCGGAGATCCAGTTCCTCTCCGTAATCTCATTGAGGTAGTTCTCGATTGCTCTTCCTGAGGATTACGATCTCATTGTTGCTGCGATTAACAACAAAGACGATATGTGCTCTCTTGATGAACTTGAGTCTAGTCTCCTTGTGCATGCATCGCGACTTGAGAAGCATCGCAAGTCTGTGATTACTGAACCGGTATCTGTCAATATGGCTCAAGCTCCACTGTCTTCAGTGTCGTACTCGACTGAGCACTCAGGTTCTGATTCCAACTCTGAATTTCCCACTGGTACCAGTCATGTGACTGCCACTGCAGAGAATCATAGCACTAGCTCTCGTGGAGGCAGATATGGCCGTGCCGGTGGTCGTTATGGTCGCGGTGGTGGTCGTTTTGGCAGGGTTTCATGTCAGATTTGCCACAAACCTAGACATGATGCCTCTGTGTGCTATCATCGTTACACTTGCCCTGGAGCTCCTTCATACTCAGCTCCACGAGCTCCCTTCAATCCTAACACAATGGCTCCACGTCCCTCTTTCCATTCATCCTTTGGATATCCTCCTATTCCACGGCCAACACCACCCAGGCAGCAACAACCACAGGCGTTTCTAGCAGGATCTGACCCTAACTTCAACAATCAGTGGTGGTAGCCTGATTCAGGTGCGTCTCACCATGTTACACCTGATGCTTCAAATGTATCTGATGCTTTCTCCTTGTCTAGTGCAAAACAGGTGTTTATAGGAAATGGTCAAGGTTTGTTTATAAATTCTGTAGGATCTATGAAATTTCCTTTGTCTACCCATTTCAATGCATCTCTAATCTTAGATAACCTTCTGCTTGTTCCGCATATCACCAAGAATCTTATGAGTGTCAGCAAGTTTGCACAAGACAATCATGTTTTCTTTGAATTTCATCCTCAATTTTGCCTTGTAAAATCGCAGGATTCTTCTGAAGTTCTTCTTCGTGGCACTGTTGGAGCTGATGGACTCTACAGATTTGTCAATCCTGCCTCGTCTCTGTCCAAGTCTCTTAGTCCTAGTTCTTGTAATAGGCTTAGCTCAAACTCTAATTTCTCTTGTAATACAGCTGCTACTTGCAACTGGTTTCCTTCTTGCAATTTTGCTTCTTATATAAATAAAAATACTCCTATTTCTCACAGTGCATTTTATTCTAATGCTAATGTCTCTTCCTCTAATATCCCTAACATAGATCCTGCCATGCTTTGTCATTCTCCTATAGTCACCAGCAAGTATGCTCTATGGCATACAAGACTTGGTCACCCTCATCATTATGTCCTCACAGAAGTTCTTAAAACCTGCAATATTCCTATCCCCCACAAACCTTCCCTTGATCTCTGTTCTGCCTGCTGTCTTGGCAAATCTCAGAGTCCCCTCATCTCTGTCCAACACAGTCTATTATCACCCTTTTGAACTGGTTGTGTGTGACCTATGGGGTCCTGCATCTACTCTTTCCTCAGGCAGCTACTCCTATTTTCTCACCTGTGTTGATGCACATTCTAGATTTGTCTGGGTGTTTCCCCTTAGGCTAAAATCTGACACTCTCACCCAATTTCTTCACTTCAAATCTATGGTAGAACTTCAGTTTAATTGCAAAATTAAAACTGTTCAGAGTGATGGCGGTGGTGAATTCAAACCCCTCACAAAACACCTTACTGAATTAGGCATCATCCACAGGTTTACTTGCCCCTATACTCACCACCAGAATGGTATAGTTAAGCGTAAACATCGTCACATAGTTGAAACGGGTCTAGCATTGCTTGCTCATTCCAAAATGCCTCTTAAATATTGGGACCATGCCTTCGTCACCGCAGCCTATCTTATCAATAGGCTGTCTAGTCCTTCCCTCGAAAACAAGTCTCCCTATTTCAAATTGCTGCATCAATCCCCAGATTATTCTAGTCTCCGTGTGTTTGGGTGTGCTTGCTTCCCCTTTCTTCGTCCATATAATTCACACAAGCTAGCCTTTAGATCTCAAGAGTGTGTATTTTTAGGTTACTCCACTGTCCATAAAGGATATAAATGTTTGGCAGCAGATGGACATATCTATATTTCTAAAGATGTGATTTTTCATGAGTCTAGATTTCCCTATTCTAACCTTTTTTCCAACTCCCTATTTCAAATTGCTGCATCAATCCCCAGATTATTCTAGTCTCCGTGTGTTTGGGTGTGCTTGCTTCCCCTTTCTTCGTCCATATAATTCACACAAGCTAGCCTTTAGATCTCAAGAGTGTGTATTTTTAGGTTACTCCACTGTCCATAAAGAATATAAATGTTTGGCAGCAGATGGACATATCTATATTTCTAAAGATGTGATGTTTCATGAGTCTAGATTTCCCTATTCTAACCTTTTTTCCAACTCCCATATTCCTTCTAATTCCTCCTCCAGCACTTCCTCTAATGCTCCCTGAGCCATGTCCTGGTTTCCCTCCACTACTGTCCATCATATCCCTCCCTTAAATCATATCAATTCTCCTGTTACTCCTTCAAACAGTCCATCCTTACCCATTTCTTCTGCTAGCTCTTCCTCTGCTGGACTTCTCTGCATGAGTTTGCTAACTCTCCAGCTACTACTGCTACTACTTCCAGTGTTTCCCCTCCTGTATCCTCACATCAGCCTAGTTCACCCTTACCTAATTCTATTTTTTCTGATCTAGCAGAAGCAAGTACTATCTCTCCCTCTTCCTTACCTCAATCCGATTCTACTGCTAGTCCCGCCTCTATCCCTCCTCTTACTATCCTCAAAGTGTTCACTCTTTGCAAACTAGAGCTAAGAGTGGTATTGTCAAGCCTAGACTCAATCCTACACTTCTTCTCACTCATATGGAACCCCCCTCTGTTAAACAAGCCTTGACTATCCCACACTGGTTTCAAGCTATGCAGGAAGAGTATCATGCTCTTTTGAAGAATCAGACATGGACATTGGTGTCTCCATCTGATTCTAAAAGGCACATTGGCTGCAAATGGGCCTTTAGGGTTAAGAAGAACCCTGATGGATCCATTAATAGATACAAGGCAAGACTGGTTGCCAAAGGATTCCATCAGCAGGCTGGCACTGACTTTACTGAGACCTTTTCTCCAGTTGTCAAACTTGTAACAGTTAGAACAGTGCTCACACTTGCAGCTACTAATCAATGGTCAATTCAGCAGATTGGTGTTAGTAATGCTTTTCTCAATGGTGTGCTTGAGGAAGAGGTATACATGATTCAGCCTCCTGGGTTTGAAGCAGCTGATAGGCCATTGGCTTGCAAGTTGAATAAAGCACTGTATGGGCTAAAACAGGCCCCCAGGGCCTGGTTTGACAGACTTAAGAGTTCTCTGGTGCAGCATGTGTTCAAGGCAAGTAAATGTGATATCAGTCTATTCTTCTTCCACGGTGACAGTTTAACCATTCTGATTCTGGTTTATGTGGATGATATAATCATCACTGAAAATTCACCATCCTTTATTGTCAGCCTAGTCAAAAGTCTCAATAGTCAGTTTGCTCTCAAAGACCTAGGGCAACTAGACTACTTTCTTGGGATTGAGGTCACCCATATGCCAAATGGATCTCTTATTCTCTCACAAACCAAGTATATTACTGATTTACTTGCAAAGATTAACATGGCTACTGCTAATGGCATGCCTACCCCTATGGTGTCTAGCAGCAAATTGACTAAGTTTGGTTCTGTTACTGTTGCTGATCCTACACAGTACAGATCTATTGTTGGTGCCCTACAGTATGCTACCTTAACTAGGCCTGAGCTGTCCTTTTCTGTTAACAAAGTGTGTCAGTTCTTGTCAAATCCTTCGGAGGAGCATTGGAAAGCAGTTAAAAGAATACTCAGGTATCTCAGTGGCACACTAAACCATGGCTTGTTAATTCAGCCTGCTCCCAAGCATCAGCCTTTATCCCTGCTGGGCTTTTGTGATGCTGACTGGGCAGCAGACCCAGATGATAGAAGATCCACATCAGGTGCTTGTGTTTTCTTGGGTCCTAACCTAATTTCCTGGTGGTCTAAGAAGCAGTAGTTGGTAGCTAGGTCCAGTGCTGAGGCAGAGTATAGAAGCATGGCTCAACTGGTTGCAGAATTGTTGTGGATTCAATCTCTTCTTCATGAAATTCAATGCAGATTTCAGATTCCTAGAATTCTCTGTGACAACCTAAGCACAGTAACTTTAGCTCACAATCCTGTGCTCCATAACAGAACTAAGCACATGGAATTAGACATCTTTTGTGTGAGAGAGAAAGTCCTAAATAAAAGCTTAACTGTGGCTCATGTGCCTGCCCAGGATCAGTGGGCAGATGCACTGACAAAACCTCTTTTTGCTGTGAAGTTTCTTCCTCTGAGGGACAAACTCAGAGTTGTCAACAAAAGACAATTACTGGAATCACCCTCAGTTTCTAAGGGGGGCTAAGGCATTATCTTTTCGATATCTTCTAACTTGTTCAAAGTTTTGTTTCAGTGGTTCCATTAGACGTTGTTTCTTTTCTCTTAGATATCTTCTAACTTGCTCATGTGTCTTCTGATTCCGGTGCGACAACTGTTAATGGAGGAAGATATTTTTTCTTTTTTGGTTTTTTTGTAAGTATAGTACGAGGCTCATTTGTTATCGTAGTAGAAGCAACAACATGTTGCTCGAACACTTGATTAGTAGCATCAGCAACATCAATCTTTGTACAATTTTGCATATCTTCCACTTCCTCACTTGCAGCAAAAATATTTTTGAACATATTTTGGAACACCATCATAACTTTGTCGAGAAAAAGTTTGATCATTCTCTATAGAAGTTTGCATAATATGGTGCAATTCCTCAATTGATGTTGTTGAAAATTGCGGAAGACTCAAATCAATAGCATTAGCAGCAGTTCTAGGTCCGAATATATGCAGTAGTTTCTCAGCATTAATATCAATAGCAATTTGACGTCGGATTAGATGTCGTATGTTAGATGTGTTTGTTGTGCCTGTTGTTATTTATCCGGTTGCAGTTGTATTAGTTGGACTTTTGTCGGTTGCTATTGGTTGTGTCCCGTAGAAAGAGAAATTTTAGGAGTGACTGATTCCGAAGTGATGTCGGCTAATTCCACATGATGTTTCTTTTTCTTAACATTTCTTCTTACAGGTGCTTCAGGTTTTTCTTCACGGTTGCCACCAGAGGCTGTTTCTTTTTCTAAACAATTTTTCTTGCATGTGCTTCAGATATTTCTACATGGTCTACCTCCACAGGCTGTTTCTTTTTCTTAAGAATATTTGTATATAAAATAGTCACACATCGACTGACTATAGCATGTATTAGCTGTAAATCTCTCTCTCTATATATATAATAAAGTTTCCATAGTGTTTTTCAAAGCACGCAGTTTATTAAAATGCCTCTTAGTCTCTCGCATTTCAACAAGAAGCTTTTTGAGAATCAAAAATATTTCCAGAACACAAACCTGAAGCACCCATAAAAAGTAAGGTTAAGAAAAAGAAATAGCATGTGAAATCAAATGACACCGCTTCAAAAACAGTCACTTTTGAAATTTTTGTTTCAACTGGACAACTAGTAGCAACCAGCACAAGTCCAACTAATGCAACTGCAACTAGACAAGCACCAATAGGCACAACAAACATATCTAATATATGACATCTAATCTGACATCAAATTGCTACTGATATTAATGTTGAGAAACAGATGCATATATTCAGACCTAGAATTGTTGTTAATGCTAATGATTTGAATCTTTTGCAATCTTCAACTGCTACAATTGAGGAATTACAACATACTATGCAAACTTCTATTGAGAATAATCAAGCTTTTTCTCAACAAATTTATGATGCTGATCCAATATATGATCAAACTTTTTCTCCCGCAGGTGAGGAAGTGGAAGATATGCAAAATTCTACAGAGAATGATATTGTTGATGCTACTAATTAAGTGTTTGAACAACATGTTGTTGCTTCTACTGCGATAACAAAGGAGGCATGCACTCTACTTACAAAAAATCCAAAAAAGAAAAAACAGATTCCTCGATTAACAGTTGCCGCACCGAAACCAAAAGACACATGAGCAAGTTAGAAGATATATAAGAAAAAAGAAACAACGTCTAGGGGAACCACCGAAACAAGACTTTGAACAAGTTAGAAGATATCGTAGAAAAAAAAAGCCTTCAATGAACCATCAATCCCTAATGTGTAGCAGCATCCACTGCTCTTTTTGATGCTCCATTTGATACTGTTCATGAGCCCTATGACATTGACGTGCCATATATCGAGCAAGAGCCTGATATGTCCGATTCCGAACTGATTCCGAACAAAAGTTAGATATGTCAGATTGTGACTCGAATGACGATAAATCCTTAACGGTTACTTTCATGGTATCAGAGTCTGGTTTAAGATCCGACGGGCCACTTGTTATCAGGTTTCTGCTATCGGCCATCCACCATTAATTTCACGCTCCAGATGTCCAGTCATGGCGTGAAGAGGTGTGTTAAGAGTTCCACATCGGATTATATATAACTTGGAACATGTCTTTATAAGTAGGAGCAATTCTCACCTTACAATCCGGTTTTATAGGGTTGAGTTAGACTCAACCACATTTCTTAACATAATAATTTATAATCTTCTCTCTGGTAAGGTTTCACAAGGCTGTTAACAACTCATTTCATAACTGATTATTAACAACGTGAATCATGTAAATATTAATGATTACACATGAGACATAATTACTATATTCACTTTTCACAGTGGACATAGAGTTGCCACAAGCTATTTTGCTAAGACCTGGGACCCTCATTGGCTACCGAACAAATAAAGATTTTCTAAAATCACTTTGTAGCAGTAGCACCCACAACTAATAACTTACCTGTTCAAGAGAGGTAAATGCTGCTTCGCGATATTTTTTCTCCTTTTTGGTGCATGCTGATGATACCAAATTCAAAATTGCAATGGAAGAGGCAGAACCATCAGTGGAAATGGCTTTATGGCATGATTTAGATAGAGCACCTACTGCTAGCAATAACACGTCTTTTCCCTGTCACGTGCAGTAAATACATTTTGTCTACGATTAAATTCTGAAGATAGTCTTTCTTGTCATGTTAAAAACTCAAGTGTCATCATACTCGATAAGAACTAGTTTTTTTTTGTTTACCTCCCATAGGCGACCAGGAATTTCCTTTATAAGAGACTGAAGCAGAACTTCATAGTGAGAAGAAAGAGAGTCACCCAAAACATCACTGAGCTTACAAATAGCTTGTGCAGACTGCACGTATAACAGCAGAAAATAAGCATAAATCTAGACCCAACTGACCAAGATCAAATCAACATAACAGAAAGGGCTAAAAGAAGGCAAAATTCACAACTAACTTTTTTTTTCCTTGTCCATGATGATGATGACATGCCATCACAGATCAGAGAAACAATTTCACCTATGTATAATTGGAGAGTGATTCGTTCACCACTTGTATATTCTTCCCATAGTTCTTCAAATTGGCTGGAAATATTGGTGTCATCCTCAAATCTGCATGCGATTTTTTAAGTACCAATAGAATAAGAAATACATTTAATACTCAAAATGAAGATGTCAGTTCATACATAAGCATCATTTAAAACAGACAGCTTAGCTGGCGGTTCTGACAAACTTTAAAATTTAGAATACAAACAAACAGCAACCAAACCTTATTCCATTAAGTGGAGTCGGATACATGAATCAACTTTTTCTATAATGTTCTATCTAAGGCCATACTTCTATTCAAATCATTAATCTCGGGATCTTTCTTTATAAAAACGTTTTTCAAAATATTAAATTTTTTCTGGATTTTATAAATTGAAAGACTAATTTTGACATCTGTTGAAATATTTCTTATTTAAGAGTCATTATACTTATTTAAGAGTCATTATAGTACTCCTAAAATAAAGGAGTTGACTTTGTATTTTCTCTCCTATAAAAAGAGCCATTTTTCCTTCATAATAAAATAACAGATAATTATCACCCATACGCTTCTCTACATGGTATCACGACCCGTTCTTTTATTCAACCCGACCGATCCAAACTATAGTGGACCCTACCCAAACACCACCTCCTCCAAGAGGCGGAGGCGGCGCCGCCGCCAACGTCAATTCCGGCGGCACCAACAACAATTCCGGCAGAGGAAGTGGATTTACCATGCTAGAAATGCCCAGTTTCATGACAAACAACAATTTTAACAGTGGGTTAGGTTATGGGAGAGATGATCCCAACAACAACCTTTTTGGATCCGATTATGGCTACCCATTTGATGGTGGTTACAGTAACTCAGGAGGTGGAGGTCAAAATAACTCTTTTCAGATTAATGTTCAGAAACTGGATGGCTCAAACTACGCTGAATGGTCTCAAACTGTTCGACTTATTCTAGAGGGCAAGGGGAACTTGGGTTTTCTTACAAGTGATGTTCAGGTGCCTGCAACAACACATCTAATTACAGGTTTTGGAAATCTGAAAACTCTTCTATTATTGTCTGGCTTATTAACACTATGGAGGTAGGTATGAGAAAAACATACATGTATCTGCCTACAACAAAAGTTGTTTGGGATGTTGTAAAACCGTCTTACTCTGATATTAAAAGTTTCTCTCAAATTTATGATCTAAAATCAACGTTATGGAATTTAAAGCAGAATGACATGGATGTCACTACCTACTATAATGAACTAATGGCCCTTTGGCAAGAGTTGGATCAATGTTATGATTATAACTGGAGGTGTACTGAAGACGGTGTTCAGTTTATTAAGACGCAGGAGAACGAGTGTCTTTATTTTTCTTGCTGGTCCCAACAAGGAACTCGATGAAGAGGTAGAATTCTTAGAAATAATCTGCTACCAACTATCCGAGAAACCTTTTCAGAAATCAGAAGGGAGGAGGCTAGACAAAGAGTGATGATGGGAAAATCAAACTCAGCAACTGATGGTTCTGCCCTTGTCAGAAACAACTTCATTAAAGACAACAAGAAATATGGTAAGAAAGATGGTAAACTCTGGTGTGATCACTGCAAACGTTATTATCACACACGTGAGACTTGTTGGAAAATTCATGGAAGGCCTCCTAATTGGAAAAAGAAGGGTGAGAGTCGTGCACTTCAAGCAAATTGTTATCAAGAGCCACAGTCTTCCCCAAATGCATTTTCATTCACTAAGAACAGCTAGACCAAATGTACAAACTCCTCGAGTCTAAAACACCTTCGTGCTCCATAGCCCAGAAAGGTAACTTCCCAAAATCAGCCCATCTTAGTGTCGTTCCTAATCGTACATGGATCGTTGATTTTGGAGCCACTGATCATATGATCGGTGAATCCAACTTATTTTCTTCATATAAACCATGTGCAGGAAAATTCCAAAATTAAAATAGTTGATGGCTCTCTTTCAGCCGTGGCAGGAAAAGGTTCTATTGTTTTGTCTCCCTTACTAACCATCCAAGATGTGTTACATGTCCCAAATTTGTCTTGCAACTTATTACCTGTCAGTAAGCTATCCACAAATAAAAATTGTCAAGCTCATTTCTTTGATACTCGTTGTGTATTTCAGGATTTGATCTCGGGGAGGGTGATTGGCACTGCTAAAGAAAGTGGTGGACATGAACCAAAAACCAGACATCAATTTGGACCAATAAGTTTTTCTTCTGTTAAATATTTTTTTGTTTCAAATAATAAGGATGACATTATGTTGTGGCATTTAAGATTAGGTCACCCTAGTTTTAAGTATTTAAGTTCATTGTTTCCTAAATTTTTTGTTGAACAAGACATTTCTTCACTTCAATGTGAGGTTTGTGAGTTTGCAACATCATCGAAGTTCTTTTCTAATTCAATCTTATAAACCTTGAAAACCTTTTTCAATGAATCATAGTGATGTTTGGGGCCCTAATCGGACAAGTATTTTATTCAACAAAAAATGATTTATCCCTTTCACAGATGATCATACTAGACTTTGTTGGGTATACTTGTTGAAAGAAAAATCTGAGATAGGTCAAATAATTCAAAACTTTTGTAAATTGGTGCAGACACAGTTTAACACCAAAATACAAGTGTTTAGAACTGACAATGGTACTGAATTTTTTAATAAAATTGTTGGAAATTTTTTTCTTGAAAATAGAATTGTGCATCAAAGTTCATGTGTTAAATCACCCCAACAAAATGGGATTGCAGAGAGGAAATACCGGCACCTTCTTGAAGTTGCACGAGCACTACTCTTCTCTACCAATGTTCCTAAATATTTATGGGGTGAAGTTGTCTTGACAGCTGCACATTTAATAAACCGTATGCAATCCCATGTTTTGAAATTTCAAACCCCTTTGCAAAGTTTCTTGAAATATTTTCCAATTGCTTCAGTTCTATCTGATTTACCACTTAAAACATTTAGATGCACAACTTTTGTTCACGAACACAAGCATCTTGGTAAGCTTGAACCCTGTGCAATCAAATGTGTTTTTATTGGGTATTCATCTTCTCAAAAAGGTTATAAATATTTTGATCCTAATACAAATGAAGATTCTCCTGAATTGTTTGAAAACTTAATTATCCCAGAAGATGTGTATATATCACATAATTATGTTCCATGTACATCTGCACCTAAGAAAATGCCTTGAAAAAACTAGATGAACCTATTCCTTCCATGAATAAGGATCAAACAAATGTTTTTTCTGATATTAATCAAAATGCAACAAATCAAAACAAAGATCAAACAAATTTTTTTTCTGAAATTAATCAAAATGCACCAGATAAAGATCCTTATAATGAAACAGAAAAAAGATTTAAGGAAGGAAAACCAATTTGGAAAGGCAAAATTTATGTCAGAAGAAACAATGATCAAGTAGTAGAAGACCTTATTCCTCAGCTCGGCCAAGAATCAGAACCGAGTGAAAGTCAACCGACTCAGACAGGTAAATCTCTCCTTGATCCTAATTCTCTATATATCGACCTTGATGCCCGCATAGAACTTAGGAAACAATATACTGATCTTAATGTTCTCATGGCCTTTAAGAAGCCAAGTAGGCCATGTACTAGGCACCCCTTGTCTAACTTTGTATCATATTCAAACTTGTCTCCCTCTTTTGCTGCATTTACTTCTAATCTATCTAGTGTCAAAAGTCTTAAGAATGTACAGGAGGCTCTAGAAATTCCAAAGTGGAAGGGAGCTGTTTTTGAGGAGACGAAAGCTCTTGAAAAGAATAAAACTTGGAGTGCCACAACTCTGCCGGCAGATAAAAGAACTGTGGGATGTAAGTGGGTGTTCACAATAAAATACAATTCTGATGGATCAATCGGAAGGTACAAGGCTCGATTGGTTGCAAAAGGATTCAGAGACCTTTGCTCCTGTTGCAAAGCTTAACACAATCAGAATACTCTTATCCCTTGCTGCTAACTTAGATTGGCCTCTCCATCAGCTAGATGTCAAAAATGTCTTTCTCAATGGTGATTTAGAAGAAGAAGTATATATGGATTGTCCTCCAGGTTTTGAAGAAACCTTTGGGTCACAGGTGTGTAAACTAAAGAAGTCTTTGTACGGGTTGAAACAATCTTCGAGAGCTTGGTTTAAAAAGTTTACTCAGTCTGTGAAGAAACAGGAATATACTCAAGGACAAGCAGATCATACTTTACTCACAAAGTCAGATCAAAATGGAATGGTAATTGTTTTGATAGTCTATGTTGATGATATTATTCTTACAAGTAATGATGAGATAGAAATGGAGAGACTAAAAAGAAACTTAGCAGAAGATTTTGAAATCAAAGACTTGAGTCCCCTCAAGTATTTCTTTGGCATGGAAGTAGCAAGGTCAAAGAAAGGAATTGTTGTTTCTCAGGGAAAATATGTTCTTGATCTCCTACAAAAGACATATATGAGTGATTGTAAGCCTGTTGACACACTGATGGACCAAAGTGCAAAACTTTGGGAGAAAGGGGACACATCAGTTGGCACTGGAAGATATCAGAGGTTGGTTGGAAAATTAATATATTTAGCTCATACTCGTCCTGACATTGCTTTCTCTGTTAGTGTTGTGGGTCAAGTCATGCATGCACCATATGAAGAACACCTTGAAGTTGCGCATAAAATCTTGAGATACTTAAACGCAACTCTTGAAAAAGGGTTATTCTTCAAGAAGACCAATGATAAAAATGTGTCAATATTCACTGATGCAGATTGGACAGGGTCCATTATTGATAGAAAATCAACTTCAGGTTATTGCACATATGTGTGGGCGAACCTAGTGACTTGGAGAAGCAAAAAACAAAGAGTAGTTGCAAGAAGTAGTGTTGAAGTTGAGTTTAGAGCAATGGCCCAAGGAATTTTTGAAGGTATGTGAATTCTCAGAGTCCTAAAAGAAGTGAAGATAGAGGTAGAACCGCCATTGAAATTGTACCGTGACAACAAGGCAGCTATAAGCATAGCTCATAATCCGGTTCAATATGATCGTACAAAACATATCGAGATTGACCGTCATTTCATCAAAGAAAAGATAGACTCTGGTACTCTCTGATTGCCATTTATCCCTTCCAATCAACAGATCGCTGATATATTGACCAAAAGCTTGGGAAGAACAACATTTGAATACTTGATCAGCAAGTTAGGCATGATTGACATCTATGCATCAACTTGAGGGGGGATGTTGAAATATTTCTTATTTAGTATTATTTATTTTCTTATTTAAGAGTCATTATACTTATTTAAGAGTCATTATATTACTCCTAAAATAAAGTAGCTGACTTTGTATTTTCTCTCCTATAAAAGGAGCCCTTTTTCCTTCGTAATAAAATAACAGATAATTATCAAGCATATGCTTCTCTACAACATCTATAGCATAAACACACATTATTGAAGATCAAAACATAGTCGAAAAGCACTTTTTTTTTTCAAAAGTTGCATCTCAAAAATGATTTTTAAGAAAAGCTATTTGAAATAGCTTCAAAATTAAGTGATTTTTTAAAATTTTGATATTCAGAAAAAATTTCAATAAAATGATGAAAAACTTAAAATAACATTTTAAGAATAACTATTCAAACCAAATTTTCATTTGAAACTTTTGTAAAAAATTTCTATATATAAAAAAAACTGAAACAATTGGGCCCTGGGTCATATATAAATTCAATGATGAATGACAACATCAGGAAAAAGTGTTACAAGGATGTCCCTAACCTTGAAAGGAAAACAACTGGAATGATAACTGCATGATATCCACCAATAACATCTGTTGCCCTGGATGAATAGCTCTTTAAGAGAAATGCACATGCAATTTGAGAGCTTTTGTCACCAGCACTTAAAGCTGCAGTATCTTCAATAAGTTTCTGGGCTTGTGAGACTGCAATATAATTCAATGCTTTCGCACAAGCACCTGCAAAGGCGCGTTTTGCAGCAGTACTTTTTTCTTCTTTGACAACGGAAAACAACAATCTCACCAGCATGTTAGCATATGGCTTGATGTCAACACCAACACTTTCAAGCAACAGAGTAATGAAATTGGCAACACCAACTCTGCACAGTTACAGAAAGCATTTGTATATATGAAACAAATCTGTACTAAAGCCTATGAATATGACAAAAGTACTTTGGTCGGATCCTATGGCAAAATATACCGAGAATCCATTTATAAGGATTAGAAATAAGAAAGTTTTACAATACATTATATGATTGCATAGTAAAAATTAAATGTAAGCTTCTTGAACCATATATGCATAAGCACCACTGACGCTTCAAAATGTCAATATTAAGAAGTTTCCTATACAAGCCAAGGGTATTATTGTAGAAAATGTAGTTATTTTTCCCTTGCAATAATACCGGTTATATAAGCGCGCTAAGAATAGCCTAGAAAGAGTACAACAGTTCATGAGACTAGAGAATAATTAACAGCTGGCTGTTAGGATCCACCATAAAGGGTACGGAACAGATGATGAATCCATATCCAACAGTTATTTGTGTATACCTCAGAAGTTAATTGCATATAGACCTAGTTTATACATTGTATCGTTCAATACACCTAAAATCAGACCCATATACAAACTGAAAACAAGGACAAACCAGAAAGAATTAACCACAACATGAGAAGCACAGAGCTCCCCTTACCTTACTACAACATTTGCACTCTTAACAGTTCAACTGACCATTCTATCGAATGTATACACCACTAAAGGCATGATAGAACCACCTATTACATTGGAGTATCCAACCTCGTGGAACACCAAATTAAGAGAAAAATAATGAGACATCTTTATAAGCCATGAGAGGGAGAGAAACCCTAGAGACAGGGATAAAGATGGGAGAGACTTAAACTAAAGATTGGGAAAACCCAAGCTCGGCATTGAAAAGAGATAAAGTCTAAAAAGAGTTTATAAAGAATGATATCTCTCCCCTTATAAGAAGTGAGTGCAACCCTCACTTTACAAGCCTATTTTGTAAGGCTGAATAAGGCCCAACCCAAATTTTAAGATGGTATCAAAGCCTATTCAAAATCCGTTAGGCCATCAGAACGAAGTGCATCCAAAACAATAAACATCAAGCAACAATATCCAAAGGATGACAATATATTGGTATGGCAAATTTTGCAACATAAATCATCTACAGATCAATATAAATCCTACAATCTTTTTTGTAATAAGCCCTTCGAATATGAACATAGGCTCCTCTGATATTTAAGGGAAAATGCAAGAAGAAAAACAGACAGTTCAATAGAAAAAATGCACCAGATGTCATAAAAAGTTAATAACAAACCTAGTATTAAGACCCACACCGGATCGTACTAAATGAGCAAGTCGTGGGATCAGTGTGTCCAGTGATTCTGCATCAACAACTTTAATACATGAGTCTAAAGTTTCCCACATTGGAGAACCTTTGGCAATGGAAATTCTAAAACTTTCAAGCTTCTCTGATTTAATTCCAACGGTTGCTGCGTGAAGCTGAAAGATGGACAACATAAAAGCATCAGAATATGCAAAGATTAATAACCGAATTCAAGGAAGAATTAAATATCAGTCAACAAAACCTCAACGTAATTGAGCCCTTGGTCTTCTAAGCTTGATAAACTTTCAAGCATGCAGCACACTAAATCAGACAAATGGGGACGGATTGCAGTTCCAGCATGCTGAAAAGAGACAGAGAATTGCTCAGATTAATTTCAAAGGCAGAAGAAATGTTTCAAACAGCAAAACTTCAATATTTGGTAATCATTAATAATTAATTTTATACAATGACAAAAAGTCAAACTAAAAATAAATTTCATGACGTAGAATGTAAAATCCGGCCAAAACAAACAGACGAACATTTTCATGGGCATACACAAATATTCACCATCAGTTAGCAAGAAAGTTGAAAGAAAAAGATTCTATAAACTTCTTTTGAAAAATGTAACGATTTATTTTTTCTCTACTTGTAGTACTACATTTAATAATAATAGTGGTTATTGTCCTTCACCAGATATTAAATGAAGGACTATAAATGAATTAATTTTAAATAGGAACTACTTGTAAAATATGTTAAATTTTCGAAAACCAAAAATATATATAACTCGGAAAAATGAAAAAATGTGAGCACAAGTTAAAGAGTTAAGGGCATAGCAAGATATTCCAAACCTTTGTAAGCTTCATAACAATTCCAATTGATGCCTTCCTAACACTGTCAACTTTACTTAATATACCTTCTGCAAGTAAAAAGGGTAAAACAATATCCATTGCTTTGTGTGCATCTGACATATCAGTTAGAGAGATATCACAAAGCCTTGTTGTCAATGATGTTACAGAACGGCATAATTTTTCGCCAGAAATTCTGACAGTTTCCTTTATGTCATCCATGGCACGAAATGCTCCTGACCATAATCTTTTTAAATGCTTCCCAACCTGTGTGTGGTGGAAGAGGCAAGAAAAACATGCAAATGAGAATTACGAGATATTGAGATATTCCAGATATATGCCAAGACTGTAATACATTAATATGATTGCACTTTTTTCATGTTTTTAGATCTCCTTTGAGTTTTACATAATTACCTAACTAAATCTTTATCAAAACATATAACGATGTATTAGAATTTAGAAGATGGCGATGTATTAGTTCTAACAAACACAACTTGTGCAAATAAAAGCTGATTGCCACACATAAGATATGCAACTTTGACTTTACCTAATATTTCAAGCATGAAAATAAAAATTCACCAATAGAAACATTATATACACATGTCTTTACACCAGGAGAAAGATTGGCATACTTCCCTTTCATAAATCTTGTAGAAAGAAAATTCAACAAAACCAACAGTTAAATCATAGAATTATATTATGATGATCATGTATTACAAAAGTTTAGACAAATTAGAAATTAAAAGCCATGCAATTCAACAATGGATACTTATGTATAATTTTATATAGCATCATCAAAAAGTTTTCGAATTGTATAAAATTGTGGAGAAGCATCAAAAAGTTTTCAAAATGTATTAAACTTTGTAGAGTTCATTTACTCTAGGAGAACTTCCAATCTTGGATTTGTAAAATGCATACTCTACAAAACTATTAATAATATTATCATTATAACTCGCATAAAAATAGTTGAAAGCAAATCTCTTGAAATAGCTCACCAATCCCTTTATAAATAACACATCAAAGCCCCAACAAACCCATATTTCAATAACAAACTAAAACCAAGTAAACAAATCCCATAAAATATGAAAAGAAAGAAACACATGAACAAATACCCTGTCCCCAACACTATTCTCTGTTGACAAATATCACTAAGCAACAGTAATAACACGACACTGTTGAACTATATTACTGAAAAAGCTGAGGATTTTGTAACATGTGATTGCTGTGATTTTAAGGATTTCATGGCTATTATTCTGAGCTTGACATACGTACTTAAAATAAACAGTAATCTTAAAGACCTCATAAAACTTCCGTCCTTGAATAATATCTGCAAGGGCGAGACACGATGCTTCACGTGACCGCCAAAGCCTAGATCCACATTGAACTAGCAAATCATCAATAATGAGATCTAAGTGTTCATCAATGGTTTTCTTCGAGTCAGCCACTAGTGACTTCCATATGTGTACCATTGCATCCTAAAGAGCAAAACAAAAAATTAAGTAAATGAAACTTGGTGTGTGAATATTAGAATTCAAGCATTCATAGAGTATCTATCATACATAATATCGTCATGCAACGGAATAGGAATTGTTGATTGAAAAAGTTGAGAAAACTACAAACTACAAATGATTTATTAGAATTAAGGAGTGTCGAAGTTATGAATTCTTAGAATTTGGGTCGGGTCCAACTCAACCATACAAAACCAACATGTAAGGTGAAGATTGTTCCTCCTTATAAACATATGGTCAAGTCATATCTCATCCGATGTGGGACTCTAAACACAACTCTTCATGCCCAACACTAATGGGCTCGGTGCACATAAGTAGTGGGTGTCCCATTAGCAAAAACCTAATAGCAAGTGGCTCAACAGATCTTAGATAGACCCTAATACTAACTTAGAATATGGGTTGGGCCTAACCCAACCTTAAAAAACTAGATTGAAAGGTGAAGATTTTCCCCACTAATAAACATATGTTTAGGCCGCATCTCATCTGATGAGGGGCTCTTAACAATACAAAAAAAATAGATACAAAAGACTAACAACTAATCCTTTTTATAGGAGTAAATAGACTTGGTCCTAAATAAATAGGGAAATGAGGATATAAAGCATAACAATAATAAGTAATGTATAAACTGATCAATGGAAATACACTAAGATCTTTGATATTATAAGAGTAATTATTTGAGTTGAGATACAAAATAAGGGTATTTTACTGGAAAAGAAAAAGTAACTAATGTTTCAATTGTAATCTAAAATAACAAATAATATTTGACGAGAAAATATTCCAAATATGGCACTTAATATTAGATGGAGGGAGCATCAATAAAATCGTAAGTTCTTATTATTTCTTTCCTCTTTTATTCCTCTCAAATTCATAACTTCAATGGGTCACCCGCAATATTATTCACGTACCAAGCCAATAGTGTTGGGCGTGAGGATTTATTGTGGAAAAATCAAAGCTTACATTAAAAAGAGATAAGGCTTGAAATGAGTTTATAAAGAGTGACACATCTTACCTTACACGACAGTTTTGTAAGGATGAATGGAAATTTAAGAATTTGTAGTGTCAATATGGTAGAGGTACGACTTGGTGACAATAATTAGATTTAAAAGTTAAAACTTAAAAACCTTTTATTTTGAAAGAAAGATGTAGAGAATTTTATTACCACGTCTACAGAAATAACAAGAAAATATTCATGCAATAAAAGCTAACAAAGTTAACTAACAAGGAAACATAGTGTCATGTGAATTGTGAGGTTAACAAAGTTAACTAACTAAGGAAACATAGTGTAATGTGAATTGTGAGGTTAAGTGTACAGGCAGAGCCGGTGATTTTCTACCACTAAGATTTCAGCCAGAGGTAAAACTTACCTGAACATTTTTATCAGGATCATACTGGTAGCGTACAAGCCTTGGAATCAAAGATCGTAAATGTGGCTTAAGAGCATCCCCTGCTTGCTTTGCTATTTTTGAGAAGCCAAAAGCAGCTGCTCTCTTAGAATTCAAAGAAGCTTGATGATTTGCTAAATCCATAAACTTATAAATTAAGTCTGGCTGTCCCATCTCATTTGCTAAGCTACATAACTCCTTGTAAGTGTTCAGTTTCCCTCCACTAGCAGTTTCACCAAGAGATCCATCTTGAAATACTTCAGAATCTTCAACAAGCTGCACAATTTATTTTCAGAAATACAAGTTTAAAAAAGAAAAGGAAATTTAAAGCAACAATTTATAAATATACTAGAAAGTTACTTTGATTGCTCTTTTCCGTTTGCCAGACCCAGTCAATGTATTCACAAGTGCATTCACCAAATTTTGTTTCATAGATTCGTCACCAAGGTCATACACAATACTCATGCCTTGAGAAGCCAACTCTTGTGTGAGTTCATTTTGTTCACCAAGAAGGTGAGAGAAAGCCTCCTGCATTTAGATTAAAATTGTCAAACTTGGATCTGACTCTAAAAAATCACTCCTTCCCTTCAGGGGAAATCATGGAGACTAGAGTTGAGTTTTATGACCATTGATTGAAAAAACATTGGTTGAGACTGCATTGTGATCATAAGAAAACACATAAAGATTGACAGAGATGATTTTTCTCATATTATTGATAGAGCAGTATGTGCTCTTAAATAGAATACAGTGTACTTAGAAAAGGAAATTCCTAATAAATATCTATCATTGCCCTCAGTCAATTCTATAATTAAGGGCCAATAATTTCTATAAATACATACTCATCTAATCAAATCATATTTATGAGATTTTGATCCTATTTAAATATAAAATATACAGCTAATTAACACATGTACAGCTGGTTCTGACACCCCCCTCAAGTTGGAGAGTGGATGTTACCCATTCCCAATTTGCCAATAATAGATTGAAATGTAGAACGACTTAATCCTTTTGTAAGGACATCTGCCAGCTGATTTCCAGTTGATACAAATGGTATACATATTGCACTGGATTATGTTGCACTGGATTATATGCAATGTTTATTGCTGACTTGTTGTCACAATATAGTTTCATGGGTCCATTCCATTCAATCTTTAGGTCATATAGAATTATTTTCAGCCACAGGAGTTCACAAATACCTAAAGCCATAACCCGAAACTCTACTTCTGCACTTGACCTCGCAACACGTTTTGTTTTTTCTCCTCCAAGTCACCAAGTTTCCTCCAAGAAAAGTACAATATCCGGATGTGGATCTTCTGTCATCTACTGATCCAGCATAATCAGCATCTGTATAGGCATCCAAAGTAATTCCTTGACCCTTTGTAAATAAAATTTCTTTTCCAGGAGTGCCCTTCAAGTATTGCAAAATTCGGTAAACAGCTCTTAGATGATTTTCTTTGGGATTATGCATGAATTGACTCACCACTCCCACTGCATAAGCTATGTCTGGCCTAGTGTGAGATAAATAGATTAACTTTCCAACCAACTTTTGATAGGATTCTCTGTCCACAGCTACATCTTCAACAAATTCACTAAGTCTGTGATTTTGTTCAAATTGGAGTTTCTACTGATTTGCATCCTAATTTACCAGTTTCAGATAATAAATCCAGCACATACTTATGTTGAGAGATAAAAATACCATGACGAGAGTATGCCACTTCAAGGCCCAAAAAATATTTTAATTTGCCCAAGTCTTTTACTTCAAACTCTTTTAGCAAACACACTTTTAGACTATATATTTCTGCTTGATGATATCCTGTTACAATTATATCATCCACATAAACAATTAGTGCAGTAACTCCACCTAAGACTGAATGCTTAGTAAACAAAGTGTGATCTCCCTGACTTTATTTATATCCCATATCTTTCATCACAGTGGTAAACCAGCCAAACCAGGCACTAGGGGACTGTTTCAGTCCATAAAGAGCCTTCCATAGCTTACAAACTTTGTCTTTCTCAAAGTTAAACCCAGGTGGGACCTCCATGTAAATTTCCTCTTAAGGTTGCCATGTATGAAAGCATTCTTGACATCGAATTGCTGCAAATTCCATCCATAATTAGGTGCTAGAGATAACAAAATTCTGACAGTGCTCAGATTTGCGACGGGAGAGAAAGTCTCATGACAGTGCTCATTTTCGCGACGGGAGAGAAAGTCTCATGATAGTCAATCCCATATGTTTGTGTGTACCCCTTAGCTACTAGTCTTGCTTTATACCTTTCTAATGTTCCATCAGACTTGTATTTAAGGGCGAATACCCATTTACAGCCAACAAGTATTTTGTCATTAGGAAGCTCTACTAACTTTCAAGTTCCATTTTTCTCTAGTGCATCCATTTCGACTTTCATAGCTTCTCTCCACTCTTTGCTATCTAATGCTTCGGTAACAATTTTTGGGATAGTGGTAGTGTTTAAATGAGCAAGAAAATTTTTATGATTGTTGGACAAATTATCATAGGATATAAAGTTAGACAGTGGATACCTTGGCCATTTTGTACATTCTCTAACATCCTTCCTTATTGCAATTGGAAGATCTCTAGCATCCATGGATATATTCTGCTCCTCTAAATCAATCCCATCAACTTCAGTTTCAGGGGGAACAATTTGCTCCTCTAAAACAGTCTCATCAATTACAGTTTCTGGAATTGGGTCAGATTCTGGGACTTGCACACAGTTGGATAGTAGGTGATGCCCTTCTTGTGTAAACTTGTAGTGGACGAGTAGCATTAGGAATCTGTAATGAAGTGGTTATAGGACTTGACTCAGGAATCTTAGGCATAAAAGAAAGGTCTTTGAACAAATCATCCTTATCTTCAATGCATTCCTTCTCCCCCTAAAGGTAAGGTTTGGAAAAAAAGATTCGGTTTCGACAAAAGTGACATCAATAGACACAAAATTCTTTTTTGTTGTAGGTTGATAACACTTGTAACCATTTTGGGTATGGGAGTAACCAAGAAATATGCATTTAATAGCTCAAGGATCAAGTTTTCTTCGATGTGGAGAATGAACATGGACAAATGACACACAGCCAAAGATCCTAGGAACTAGGTTGTTTGAAGTTTTGAAATTTGGGTAGAATTTGGAGAGAAGTTGAATGGGGCTGTTATTCTGAAGAATTTGAGAGGGTAAGCGGTTAATCAAATAGGCTGCAGTAAGAGCAGTCTCCCCCAATATTGTTTTGGAACATTTGTGTGGAATAAAGATGCTCGGGTAACATTGAGAATATGCCCAATTTTTCTTTCTACCACCCCATTTTATTGTGGGGTGTGGACACATGATGATTCATGGATAATACCGTGTTCATGTGCTCTTAAATAGAATACATTGTACTTAGAAAAGGAAATTCCTAATAAATACTCATCATTGCCCTCAGTCAATTATATAATTAAGGGCCAATAATTTCTATAATACATACACAGCTAATCAAATCCTATTTATGAGATTTTAATCCTATTTAAATATAAAATATACAGCTAATTAACACATGTACAGCTGCTTCTGACAAAGATTCACAAATTATGAATTGTTTGAACTTTGAATCTTAGGAATATGAGTTTAGTAATGTCATATACATAATAACAAAGACTATTATTCTTTGATTACGCGCTTGTCCTGGGCACTATTATACATTTATCCCCATCACTATGATTAAATTTTGAAATCATTGGAGTCAACATCTTTAACAATATTCCTCGAGTTTGAATAAAGCCAAAGGAAAACTACAAGAATCAGGCCCATCTTCCTATCCATTTTCACATTAACTTCTCGAGAAATCTTTACTCTTTTGTAGCAATAAATATGGAAAAAAATTATTGGACAACTATACCAACTGAACCATCAGACATATCCAAGTTAAAGGAAAAATTTCCTTGGTACATATGACCTTGAAAAACGATACAATAAAAGAATTTTGGAATGTTACTAAAATGTAGTAGAGGAAAAACAGGGACATTTTGGTTTCTGAAGTCTAAACCTGAATTTCTGGAAGCATTTTCTGAATAATAGGATGACTGCCGCAGTACTTTGTAAGTGATACTAGCCAGACAGTTCCAGCACATCGCTCTTCTTTCCTGCTACTATACAAAAGCACATCAAAAAGCTTTTTGATAATTGCATCTCTTGCAGAAGCATGGTATTCTTCACTTTGTCCATTAGGGAACTGCTTTGACTCAGAAGAGTTTAAATCTCCCATCAGAAAATTTGAAGCAGTCGATAGTGAAGTGAAGTTAGTTCTGAGAATTGTGTCAGCGCTGACAGGAACACTACCCCACAAAAAAGAAAGTGCCTCCCCAGCAGCAAACAGAACATCCTCAGCCTGAAATTATGGTTACATATGAGACACACTCTTCAACTTAAAAAGAAAATATAAAAACTCTTCAACTTAAAAATAAAATATAAAAACTTAAGCTGTTCCCATTCAAGATCAAGGAATTCAAGAAAACCATTATCTTACTTCTCCAAAGAAAAAGCAGAAAAATTGAATAAGTGGAGAAAATTAAAACAGCAAACTGAACATTCACTCTGATATATGCCATTGATTCATAACAAGCAAATCACAAAAAAGAGGATGATGGAGCATTTGAATTACCTTAGATCGACAAAGACTGAAAATCAAATTTAAGGCCATATCTATATGGGAGGATGAAGATTCCTTTACACATATATGCCCAATGGATATGACGATCTTCTGTATTGCTTTAACATCGTCACTCAAGAGAAGCTTACTCAATTTATCATACAGAACTATCAGAATTCCATCTGCAAATTAATCAGACATTCCTATAATTTTTCTCAACCAGCAGCACAATTATGAATGGTCTAACAAGAATTTGGTCAGCATCAGCGTTATCAAATTGCGGCGCCATGGCCGCTATGGCCGATATACATGGCGGTTTTTGGACTTGCCACAATGGTAAATATCGGCCGCTATTGCAGGTTTTTTCGCCATAATCCGCAATGCGGACGGCATGGCGGGATTTTGGCTCTCCGCCATGGACCGCCATCGACAACACTGGTCAGCATATATGTATTAACTTTACCTGAATTAGAATCCTCAAGTGGAGGTAATGAAATACGCAGTCCAATATGACCCAATGCTTGCATTGCAACAGCAGCAAGAGCAGAAGTTTCAGAATTAACCACATCAACTAGGCACCTAAGTGTTTTCCGGAGAAACATGTCTGGCATCTGCCAAGATGTAGTATGTGCAATATTAGAGAACTATTTGAGAGATTTTAAGAGTCTGAAAAGTTAGAGAGCAAGATGACATTAAGGTCTAGAACATAAGTTTACAAGTGGGGGCAATCCTCACCTTCCAATCCGGTTTTGTATGGGTTTAGTTAGGCTCAACCCAAATTCTAAGAATTATTAATACCCAAAAATCAATATCTAAGTTTCATTTGATAATTTGTTTTGCAAAAGATACATTTTTTCAAAAGGTAGTTGTTGTTCAAGGTAAAAAGTGCAACTACAAGAATCATAAGTCTTCGATAAAACCAACAACTTGAGCAAAGGTATTGAAAACATAAATAAATGAATAAATAAATTAAGTAAACAAATAAAAGCTTAAACTAGTATCAATTGATCCCAGGCAAAGCTTGCATATATATGTTATGTAATATGTAATTCAACTATTAATTAAAAAATATGCAGTGAAAGTAAAATAAAACTTACAGGTGCTCTAGACAAATAATCTGCAGTGATATATCCTATTGCACAAAGCGCACCGTGCTGAGTCTCAAATCTATCAATAAATCAATTCAACATGAGCATAAGCAAAAAAGATTCAAAAGGGGTTAATTCTCAGAAACTGGACTAAAAAGTTATAGCACCAGTACACAAACCTCGACTTATGTGTTTGGCTGAAAATTGAAGTCAATTCCGAAATAACATCAGATGTTGCAGGCAGAGGAAGAGCAGAAGACACAATTCCAAGTAAACATGCAATGGATTCCCGAGTGTCCCAATCCACATGATTCAGTAGTAGTTGCTTAAGCCATGAAACTTTGAGAGCATAATGCAATGCTACAACCTATAAAAAAAAAACAATTGTGTCAGAGAGAATACTACAAAGAAAACAATCAACAAACTGTAACATCTGACCTCTGGCATATGTGATCCAATTATAAGCAATGCTTTGGAAGAAGTGACGTGCAACTCAACGGAGCCTTCAAATGACATAGAGTGTTCCAAGAGCAAACAAAATGTCTTCACTGATGATATAAATTCAGGCGAGCTTTCTAAGGACTTGTTCTTTTCCAATTCTGACTCAAAGCACTTCATTAAAAATTTGATCATGGCAACATATGTGTTTGAAGGAAAAAGCAGGTTCTGGTCTCTAATATTAGTGGACTCTAATAACTTTGGCTGTTGCCGGATAATGTAATCTAGCATCAGACCAAGTTTGGGGTACTTAAAATCATCAATTTGATTTCCATTTTTAAGCAAACAGAGGCCTTCGAGTGCCATTTCTCTGTTTCAAACAAAAACAGCTACATAATCAGTTAAATGAATTTATATGACTCTAGATCACAAGAAACTTCATAATTAAATCGCCCCATAAACCTAATAATGATACAAGCAAACTCAAAGTTATCACATGTTATCCAATGAATGAAGTTCCAAAACCATCGACAAAAAATGCATTACAGGGTTTAGAGTCCCTGACTCCCTGTTTTACTTTAAAAAAGGTTAAAACAATTTAGATTTTTGCTAAAATTTAACATATCAGCATGTTATTTTCTCTGCTTAAGTTTTAAGAGTTGTGATCAGTAATAGAAATACTACTAGAGGAAGCAGTCTTTAAAAACTTGAACAAAAATGTATATTATAGTTCTGTTCGTGCTTTATAATTATTAGAACTGTGATTTGTACAGTGAAAGCAAGGCAGATTGAATGAAGAAACAGTATCTAAAGGGTTCATTCTCTCATTATGCACCAACTTTGTAAAAGACATGCAAGTAATCATCTTACAGATTTTCAACGAAGAGAATACATTATATAACAATAGACTTGGTCTTTCCTTTTTTGTTTAAAGAAGAAATTCAATCAGGCAGAGGGAAGATAATTAAAGAGTTGGGAGGACAGTGAGCTCACTTAAAGTAAAAGGAAAACATAAACAACAAAGAAAAATATCATGAAGCAAAGCAACCCCAATCCCTTGAAGCAAAACCCCTTCAAATGTGCTTTAACTCATTCAAGCATGGAATTTGTTATACCTGATATCTAATTTAGCATCTGCTGATCCTAGCATACAAATAAAACGACTGGGACAATGTTGAAAATCAAACAAAGATGTTGCCCATCTTACAGCACAAAATCGTACTTCACTTTCGTCCTGTCAGCACAACAAAACAAGTTCATGTAAGAACCTCTTTCAAATTT